ATTCTATTTCAATACAAATTTTGCTGCTAAGAAGAAGAAGTTACATCTACAGTATATTTAACTAACTTTAGGACAGCTGTACACAACTAACTCTAACTATCACTAACTAACACCATGGTTAAGTTAAACTAACTAAGGTTAACTACTAGAGTTAACCTATATTCTTCACACACACACACACACCCTCAAGCTAGGACTAGGAAATATGTTGAGTAGACCTAGCTTGGATAGCAAATAGGAATGCTGAATGCGACCAAGCCCCTTTGTGAGTATATCAGCTTCCTACTCTGCTGTAGGACAATAGAGGGTAGAAACAAGACCATGTTGAATCTTCTCACGAATGAAATGGCAGTCGATATCGATGTTCTTCGTACGTTCATGAAACACAGGATTGGCAGCAATAGCTAGGGCAGATTTGCTATCACTGTAGATAGGCACAGGTGAATTATGATCCACTCCCAGCTCCTTGAGTAGACCAATGATCCAAGTAATCTCTGCAACTGTGGATGCTAAGCTGCGATATTCAGCTTCTGCTGAGCTTCGAGAGATAGTGGACTGCTTCTTAGATTTCCAAGAAATCAAAGAAGAGCCAAGTTTGACAAAGTAACCTGTAACTGACTTGCGTGTGTTGGGACATGCAGTCCAATCTGCATCACAAATTGCTGAAAGTGATTCAGAGCACTTGGCAGCCAAGAAACTCCCAGACCAGGACTGCTTTTGATATATCTGACCACCCTGAGTGCAGATTCCATATGAGAAGCCTTAGGACTATGCATGAACTGGCTCAGACTTTGAACAGCAAAGGAAATATCTGGCCTTGTTACAGTCAAATAAAGAAGCTTACCCAAGAGCCTTTGATATGGCCCTGGATCAGCCAATAATGTGTCATCAGAGGTACCTATATGAATGTCAAATTCAGCAGTAGTGAGCTTCATATTTGGCTCCATAGGACAATAAGCATGCTTAGAGCCTGATAGCCCCAGCTCAGATATGAGTTCTAAGGCATACTTGCGTTGATGCATTAGTATACCATCACTGTTTCGTGCAAACTCTATCCCCAGAAAGTATTTATGTTCTCCCAGGTCTTTGATCTTAAAATAGGTTTGTAAATCATCTTTAGTCTGTTGAATCATGGTAGGATTATCTCCAGTGATAAGGAGGTCATCAACATAGACAAGAACCACCACCATGTGAACTCCTGATCTTTTGATGAACAAGGAATAATCTAAATAACTCTGTTGAAACCCAGCATCCACCAAGGCTGATGTGAGCTTGATATTCCATTGTCTAGATGCTTGCTTAAGTCCATAGAGGGACTTGAGTTATTTGCAAACTCTGAAGTTAGATTTTGGTCCACTGAAACCTTGAGGTATCTCCATATACACCTCCTCAGATATATCTCCTTGCAAAAAAGCATTATAAACATCCATTTGATGAATGGACCATTGCCTTGAAGCTGCAATGGACAACACACTTCTGACAGTAACCATCTTCACCACAGTTGAAAAGGTTTCGTGGTAATCTAAACCTTCTCTTTGATTTTACCATTTGGCCACCAATCTAGCCTTGAACCTTTCAATCTCCCCTGAAGCCTTATACTTGATCTTATAAACCCACTTACATCCTATTGCCTTTTGTCCTGGTGGCAAGGCCACCAGTTCCCAGGTCTTATTGTTCTCCAATGCTTTTATTTCTGTCTGTGTTGCCTCAACCCATCTCTTGTCCTTCACTGCCTCTGAATATGATGTTGGTTCCACCTCCACTGAAAAATTTGCTAAGTAACTTTGATATTTTGGAGAGATCCCTTCATATCCAATCACATCTGAAATAGGATACTTGCAGCAACTTGTAGAACTTTTCTTGTTATCTCTGACATAGTCCTTAAGCCATATGGGAGGCTTAGATATTCTTGTAGATTTTCTAGGCTCCCCATCATCAGGCAAAGTGAGAGAGTTCCCAGGACTGTCCACACTGTTATGTTCAGCAAGGTGTGAAATGCCCTGATCATCTGAGACAACTGGAGGTGGAGTAGGAGAGCATGGCACATTTGTTTCCTCAACTTGTGTATCAGTGGCAGGACTGACTGCTCTCAGTTCTTCATCAAAATCATGTTGTGGTATTGGAACTTTATCCAGGAATAATAATTCTTATGACTTTTCTGCTGTGTGGAAGGGAAATATATCTTCATAGAACACTACATCTCTGCTTATAAAGAATACCCTATTTTCCAAATCCAAAAGTCTGTAACCCTTTTGATGTGCTGTATACCCCAAGAAGACTGACCTCACAGCTCTAGGAGCAAACTTGTCATGGCCTGTCAGATTAGTAGCAAAACACAAACATCCAACTACCTTTAAATGTGTCAATGAGAGTGCCTTATTCAGAAGTAATTCATATGGTGATTTATGTCCCAATACAGAAGAAGGAATTCTATTGATTATATATACAGAAGCATCAATACAATGTCCCCAATATCTAACAGGTAAGTGGCCTTGAAATCTGATTGCTCGAGCAGTCTCCAATATATGTCTATGTCTCCTTTCCACAACTCCATTTTGTTGAGGAGTATATGGACAGGAACTTTGATGAAACAATCCCATGCATTTGAAACAAATCATTACATAAACTGTTAAAAAACTCACTCCCATTGTCTGATCTAAACATCTTAATTTCTTCCCAAACTGTGTTTTGGTCATATTAATAAAGTTCTTGAGTAAGAAAATGACATCAGATTTGAGTCTCATAAGAAATACCCAAGTCCATCTAGTAAATTCATCAACCAATGTAAGAAAGTACTTCATCCCATTATGGGTAGCAATCTTATAGGGTCCCCACACATCCATATGGATCAAATCAAAAGCATGTAAACTTCTACTAGTACTAGTTGGAAAAGGTGCTCTAGTTTGTCTAGCTAGAGGGCAGATTTCACATTTTGACAGTGAACCACTATTTATTCTACTATCACAGTGTTGTATGCTAGGAATTCTCTTGAGAACTTGTATTGGAACATGTCCTGTTCTTCTATGCCATATTTCCAAACCTCCTTCTTTACTAGTAGCTGCAAAAGCTCTATTCACAGTCTTCTCCAAAGCTGTTGATAGTATGTATAGATCTTCTTCTCTTCTACCAATCTCCTTCACCCTCCCAGATAAGAGGTCCTGGAATATACAACATTTTGGAAAAAAAAAGTAACACTGCATTTAAGGTCGTCTGTCACTTTAGAAACTGACATGAGGTTAAACTTAAAAGCAGGTACACATAATACATCCTTCAGTACATCACCTCCTGTGAGTTGGCACTCTCTCATATGTGAGATTGATGCTGAATCTCCAGTAGGTAATTGCACTTGTCCTGAATTTCCTACTGAGGTTTTATTTTTCAGTAAACTCTTATCACCAGTCATATGGTTAGTAGCACCAGTATCTACTATCCATTTGCATAGTTCTAAATTCTCACATAATGCTACATTGCCACAAAAGCACTTACCTGCCATGTTCGCACTAGTCCCTGCAGTAGACCCTTTGTTCAGCAACTGCAACAGCTGATTATATTGTTCTTTAGTGAAGACCTGAGCTGGTTCAACATTACTACTTGACTGGTACATGCTTGTGTTTGGTGAAGCTATTACTTTTTGCTGTGCAGATCCATCCATCATGACTGCATTTGCCCTATTCTTCTGCTTGAAATTAGAAGGATACCCAATAATCTTGTAACAGTTCTCCTTCAAGTGCCCTGTCTTGTTACACACTTCACACTTCATCAACTTATAGCATTCATTTCTAGTATGTCCTCTCATATGACAAAAATCACATTCTAAGCTATAATTTCTCCTTGGCTTAGATGTAGACTGAGCTGTAAACAATGCAGTAGGATCATCGAGTCCACCTTGCCCATAGGTACCACCAGCAAATGATTTCCTGCTTTCTTCCTGAACTACCATAGCATAAGCTTTATCTATAGATGGCAAGCTTGGCATTAATAGAATCTGACTCCTTGCTTGCTCAAAATTGTCATTCAATCCCATCAAAAATTGTAGCAGTCGTTGATACTCCAATTGTTCAATATATTCAGTGGCTGTTGTGGGTGGTGGCAATATGGAATCATATTCTGCCCAAAGGTCTTTCAGCTTAGTGAAATAGATCGATACTGATGAGATCCCCTGTGTTAGAGTGAATATTTCCTTATGAAAGAAATACAATCTCGATGCATTCACCTTGTCAAAACGTTCTTTGAAACCAGCCCATACCTTCTGTGCATTCGAAGAAAACAATACTCCTGTTACCAAATCTCTGCTCACATTGCTCATGAGCCATGAAGTTACAATTGCATTGCAGCGATCCCACTGACTTCCCAAATTTGGGCCAAAATCCTCCTTCGATGTTGATCCATCAACCAAACACAACTTGTTCTTTCCTAACAACGCCACTTTCATTACACGACTCCAAATAGAATAATTCTCCATACCTGTCAAAATAAGTCCCACAGACATCGATCCCGGACCATCAGATGCATGCAAGTAGAGAGGATGATTGTGATCTAACATAATCGAGCTAGGTATCGTTCTGATGCTCGTATTATCTCCATTGTTTGCATTATCAGTTGAATTCTCTGCATGCGCCATTGACAACCTCAAAATTAGGGTTCGAAGCTTCTAAATTCGAGCAGATTCTCTCAAATTATCTTCAATTCTGCGAAGAAATTCCCTAGAATCACTTGATCAAAGCTCTGATACCATGAAGAATTTTGCACAATACAGACGAAGAAGGAATTGAGGTTTGAGAATTTTCTAGAGGGAATCAAACGAGAGCTTCCTTCATTCTATTTCGATACAAATTTTGCTGCAAAGAAGAAGAAGTTACATCTACAGTGTATTTAACTAACTTTAGGACAGCTGTACACAACTAACTCTAACTATCACTAACTAACACCATGGTTAAGTTAAACTAACTAAGGTTAACTACTAGAGTTAACCTATATTCTTCACATCTCTCTATGAAACTATGTATGAAGAATCTCCCCATATAGCTGTTGAACTTGATTTTCCTTGCAAAAAATCATTTGGTAATTATAGGGTTGTGTGTTCATGTGATGGGTTATTGTGTATTTCTGCTGGTCCTCGAGATCTATTGTATGGAATCCGTCTATAAGAAAATTTAAAAGATTGCCCTTTTCAGGAACAAATGCGAATGATGATTCGTCGACTCTAGCTTATGGTTTTGGTTATAATGAGTGTCAAGATGATTATAAAATTGTACAAATTATGGGGTCACGTAGAGAGAATAGATTTGGAGAGTTTGAAGATTTGAATGATGTTAGGATTTATAGTTTAAGAAGTAATTCTTGGCAAAGGATTCTTGAGAACTTCCCAGGTGTTTTCTTTCGCAATCATGCTAAATTTGTGAATGGAAGACTTCATTGGTTTTCTACTCGTTTTATGGATAATTTTTTCTCGCGATTTGTTGCTTCATTGAACCTCGAAGACGATATATATGAAGAAGTAGCATTGCCCGACCTTGATGATGGTAATGTTGGGGAACTAGGAACCTTAGGAGGTAATCTTTGTGTATCTGGTAATGTTGGAGTCATGGACCAAGGTGGTTTCAGTCCCTTATTTTAAGGTTGTTGAGCATCGGATTTGTCCAATTTTCATCTCCCAAAATTATAAAATTTTACTTGAACATGGTTCAAGTTTATTGCTGTATAATTCAACACAGAACGTTTTAAAGCATCATCAGATTCAGATTCTGGTTCATAATGGTTTTGGTGTTCTATTTAGTGTGTACATTAGAAGTCTTGTTTGGCCAAATTTTGTGGAGGAAGTTTGAAAAGTCGTGGATCAACGAAAGTTCGGATCATCAAAAGGAAGCGATCTTTTGTCAACATTCATTCGACCTTATGGTTTCTTTTATTTTTTTGGGTGTGGTTGTGGTGTGAATTCTTGATTTCTAGCACTTCTTGAATATCATGACCAAAAATAAAAATAAAAATAAAAAAGAATTGACCAGTCTAGTTATTGTTCATATAGGTCATTCAAGGCTGGTATGAGGGGAAAAATATTCAGAAAGAACAAAAAAAAGTATCTGAAGGTGATGTGTGGGGTGGTGTTGTGAACCCTATAGTTTCTTTAATTTGCCTTTTTTTTTTGTGCGCGCGCTTTGCTTTTCTGTATCTCTATCTCAAAAAAAAAAAAAAAAAAAAAAAAAAAAAAAAACTAGTCTTGTTCTTGTTCGTAGTGGTTGGGTTACTCCATGCCACTAGGTTACGAGTTCAAGGCTAGTAAGAAAGAAAGAAAAATTACTACTATATTTTGTACTAGGGCGGTCAAATTTGGCCCAAGCCCAAATGACCCGCTCAATCCGTCCAAGGCTGGGTTGGTTATTGACCCGCCCATTTATTGAACTTAGCCCATTTTGACCCAACCCATCTCAACCCATTTAAAGTTGGACTAATTTTTAGCGCAAATTGATCCATGAGTAAGTTTGTCAAAATATCTTAGAAATAATTTTATTTTTTGTTTAATATTTTAAATATGACCATGACAAAAGCAAAAAAACCTTATTTAGTAATTATACAATTTATAAGAAAATAACACATATTAATTAAAGTTTAATAAGAGTTGGGCGGGTTGGGTTATGACCCGATTTTAACCCATCTTGATCCAACCCATTTTAGCCCAAGTAACTTTTGGGCAGATCATTTGACCCGCCCAATTATTGACTCAATCCATTTTGACCCGCCCAAAATTGACCCAACCCGCCCATTTGACACCCCTATTTTGTACAATCATGTGTTGATCTTTGAATTTCTTGGGACTTTGCATCGTTAAAATTGGTAAAGTTGAAGCCAAGTGACTAGGAGGTCACGGGTTCGAGCCGTGAAAACGGCCTTTTGCAGAAATGCAGGGTAAGGTTGCGTACAATAGACCGTTATGGTCCGGCCCTTCCCCGAACCCCGTACATAGCGGGAGCTTAGTACACCGGGTTGCCCTTTGTATCGTTAAAATTAAGCTAATCCATGTGAACACCCTCCATTCCGAGTGTTTAATCTGATAGAAAAAAATCTGGAGCTTACCATTAATTCAACTCGAGATCTCTTGATTCGGACTCTGGAAGGAAAGATTTAGGAGCACTAATTAACTATACAGTTTTGATACTCTATCCAATTGATGAAGTTAGATTTTCACTTCTAAGATAGTGGCAAAGTTATATTAATTTGGTTATGGTAATACTCTTTCTATAGATTGACGAGGGAATAATCGATGATCCTAAAGCAAAGAATTCTTCCGATTATTTATGATATTATATTAATGCAAGTTTAAAATAATTCAAATAGTGAGAAATAAAATTATATCTCTAGTAAATAAATAAATACTTATCATTTCCTTTTTTATATTAAAATATTCAGTTCTATGCTACAATATAGGTACACAAATCAAATAATTTTTGTTAAAACTTTTTTCATATAATAACATTCCTCAACATATGTTTCTTTTAAAAAGATAGTGTGATGGACTGGTTTTGGGGGCATTTTTGTAAATAAATAATTCTTTTAGAAATTATGCAATGCTCTATTACATCAAACTAAACAATGGATAAAAAATATGTCAGTATAACTAAATGCCAGCATAACTAATGCAAGCATCACTAATACCAGCATTACCAATACACCGCATTTTTCTTATGCACCCTAGCAATCTCTCTCTCTAGAGTTATACCTTTGTATTGATAGTGTGTGGTTCTTTACGCAATCAAGTTAGGTTAATCATCAACAAGAAGTAACTGCTCATATATATTAATTTTGTAACACAGAATAGAATAAAGGGAAATGATCCAGATTTACCCTTAATACTATATGAAATTGCTCAATTGTTTCCTTTATTATACTTTTGGTGCATTCATACTCTAGTTGTTAGCAAATCCTTTTGGTATTCTCCCTTGCTATTATTGCAATTCTAACGTGAATTATGAACTTCCACGTGTCCAAATTCTTCGGAAAAAATATCCAAATTACCTCTCAACTTCTAACTATTTTAAGAATACCCTCAAGTAGAAGATTCGTTAGTGGTCACTTTTAGCCCTTGTCAGAAACTATTTATATTTGGTAACTGAAAATGTGTATAAAATTTGTATAATTTTTGTATATAACATACAGAAAGTATATATACAAAAAATATATATTTTTTCGACTATTATTTTAAGAGCGGCTATACAGTATCATTTTCTCTTATCCGAACTATTGCCCAAATCAATGGCGCATGCCCAAAACATGTCCGTAGTGACCTAAAAACGGTCCTTTTTAATTGGCCATCAATTTGTGAATGGAAGAATGTACTAAGTGTACCGAACCATCAAGTGTGTCGTCTTGATTGGTAGTAAGTAGCACCAACATAGTCAGATGATCGCAATCACCCAAGAGGAGTCTGGCTTCCGAAAGGCATATGGTAAACCTATCACAAACTCCATATTCTTATGCTCCCTCTTCCATTGTGATATTACGATCCATAATAACAATAACACAGTGTAATCCCACAAGTGGGGTCTGGGAAGGGTAGGATGTACGCAGCCTTACCCCTATCCTGGACGGGCAGAAAGACTATTTCCGATAGACCCTCGACGATATTAAGGTCATATGAAAAATGCCTATATATCAAAAGCAGAGCAAAAATGTTGTGAAAAAACATTTTTCATACTTATCTTTTAAAGTAATTGTAAAGGTGAGAGTACAAGACTAAACTAAGAACAGATATCCAATCTCCATAAGGAATGACATGTTAGAAGCAAAACTAGACATAAATGTTGAGAATATAAATTCAGAAAAACAGTAGCCAAAGGATAAGGAAAAAAGAGCATCCACCTTCAATTCTCATACTGCAGAGGAAAAAGAAATTGGGATTCAAAAATTGAAACTTTTCCACCCAAGTAATACAGGACAAAGTAGCAAGCACTAAGGTGCAGCTAAAATCCACGCTGCCGATTTTTTCCATACAACAACTACTACGCCTTAGTCCCAAACAAGTTGAGATTGGCTATATGAATCTTCACTTCTTTCTTTAAGCTCAACTCATATCATCGTGAATTGGCAAGTTTTACACAGGTTGTCAGCCTACCGCAACCCTCCTCCTTTACCGAGGCTTGGGACCGACAATGTGAGCAAGCTCACAGGAAGTGTTACTACCAATTCTTTCCATATACTGCTTATTTTTGCAGGACCAAAATAGATATTCCTTCTTTTTACAGTCAGCAGCTTTGCCTCAGGAAATCATAGACTCTATTCTCTATGTACTTGTTCTTAAAGTCTAAGTCATTCAAAATTAATCAAATTCCATGCACACATTACTTACAAATTAAAAGAATAGCAACAGCATGAAGACTATGGCCAAAATATAGAACTCATCAATTTCATCTACAAGGGGCCTAAGCCTTGCAGCAACCTTTAAACATTCTCTCGACAGCAAATATTCATGGCCACAACGATCTCTTTGAACAAACGATGGAACCTAAAAAAGCCATGTTCTTATTGCAACATAAATTCATTCAAATTCAACATAACCCATGCGATTAATTACTCTTACCTGCTTCATTGTCAAGTTCTTGCAAGTAATGCAAAAACACCCTACACAAATATGAAGTTGAAAAGAAGCAGCAGCTTAGAATCATAGTTCTGTTTTGGCAAAATTAGGCTATTAGTTATCCTGAGAGAACAGTGAAAATCCAAGATTCAAATGATTCCACATTGAAGACCAAAATGACCACCATAGACGGGCGGACCTATGCTATACTGAGAGGGGTCACCGGCACCTTAAAGCTCGGTAAAACTCCACATATACATGTGTATATTTTTGAAAAACAGTGATATACTAATAGTGGGCACCCTATATACAACGCAAATTTTAGTTAAATCCAAAAGTGCATCCCCAACCTTCAAATTCTGGGTTCGCCTCTGACCATAGACCGAAATGCAAAACACATAGGTGCACTCCTTATACGGGCTTCCACAAAGAGAAGTCATTTTAGGTGAATATTACCTAAGCGCAGACTCTTCGATTTTGGTGTCGTCCCCGTCCCGATACGAGACGTGGACGGGAGCGGGAGCCAACTGACTTCGGACGCTTTGACCGGAGTCCATCGACAATTTGGGAGAAAAATTGAGATTTTGATTTCTCAAACTCAAAAATAAAACAGATTTAGGAGAATGAAAGAATAATGTCCATCTTGGAGAATAAAAGATGGAATTATACAATATTCATGTAAGTTTTTTACAGAATATCTCTCAAAATTTACAATATTTTTATAGCTCTATTTTTTATTAGCCGAATCCCCGCACTCGTATCCATATCTGGATCTGCACCCTCGAATCTTAAAATTTAGATTTTTCCGAATCCGATACTCGGATCCGTCCCCGTACTGGATACCCGCACATGAGTCCGAGCAACTTAGAATATTACAATGTTACATCAGAAACTTTGCAGTTTCCTAAAGTCTCTTTACTCAAGCACACAGAGTCTGCAAGAGCAATGAGATATCATTGATACAAATTGCGGAAAAATGATAATGAAAGACTTAAGAAGAAGCGAAAATCTGGAAAAAAATAAATATATCTTCTTCTTTTTTGTTAGTGGCATCAGAAAAAGATAACTCTAGGTACAATAGCAAAGAAAATGATGCCAAACAGAACAATATGTACATTGAGTACATAACATATTTCCTTTGCAAGATTTTGTTTTCTTTTCTTTTTTTAATCATAATTTCTCTTCAC